CTACTGTAAAATACCTTAACTTTTGCTTTGAATTTATTTTCGCTGAAGGGAAGATTCAGTGGAAATAAAATCCAGTGAATATACTTATTTTCCTATATTTCACATTCAAATCACAAATTAATTCCAGCTAAGATAAAGTATTTTACAGTACCCTATTATAAAACTACTAGACATGCCTTTTCTACACCAACACCCGAATGTCATACATACTTCATGTAGTATGACACATTGGCAGTGAGGAGTTGGCGTCTAAGAGGTCACTTACCAGTTTGTTATAGTTCATTCGGAGTAACACTGGGAAATCCAGCCTCGCATATTTCATTCCCAACGGACACGGGATATTAACCACATCTTTAGCTAGCTGAGCTGTCTCATCGTTGTTTGTCTGATTGTTCTGAGCAGCTATTTGGATATGTTCTTCTAGTTTGCGCCTCGTAGCACTAATTGTTTGTTCCACAGTCAAGTACATAGTGGACTGTGGTGCTGTGATCGCAGCGGCCATCATGTTAGTATCAATATACTCATTCCCATCACTTCTATCTGATACGATTGGTACAGTTGGATCATTTGGTTGAATGATATGTACCTCAGTCTCCATTATACATTAAGTAATTTGGAAATATTATTTCTACGCCAACTTGTTATTATTTTTCTTCTGTAATATAGAAATCTGTCTGACCTAAAAAAAATGAGAAAGGTTATCAGAGAAATATTTTAAAAATACAATTTTTGTCTGCAGGATCTTTTAAACAATAGATATTGACAATCCGTGACCGTCCATAGAAGCTTTAGCAGTCTGTATCACGTGATAGATATCAGCTGTCACTATGCCAATGGAGTGTGTACCCCATGAAATCAAGTATTTCCTCATAGCATTGTGTAAGCAGGCTCACTGGTGCATGAAGTATCACAACAAAAATACAGCCATGTAGACAACATAAATAATTCCTGATTTATGCATAGGATTTTTTCTAGTGCGACATTGTATTTCCTGTTTCAAATGAACATGACACTTTGGATTCAGTGATGATATGATGGCACTGGAATAGTTTCTGTTCAGTATTTGTAAATACAACAGAATAATTAGCATAATTTTTAATTATAAAGAGTTCTAACACATTATGATATTAATTATGTTCAATACATTTAAATAGTCATACAGATAAAGTTCACGTTTTTATTTTATCTTCAAGATTTACCAAACAAAAATTATTACTCTAAGGGGAACTAAATATCAAGATAATTATGTGAGTAAATAATTTCTCCAAGGTTTTGTTTAGGCAGTAAACATTTATAAAATTAATTACCAACAAATGATCTCTAGTTTAGAATCTATAATCAAAGAAGGTTTGGGGTTAGTAAAATATGGTAACTGTGACAACTATTATTCTATTCTACAATTTTAAAGATTTTCTGACTGTATGAATGTATGAAAATACTATTTACTAAATAGTAAATGATAGTGTGAAACCTATAATAGCTTTGAACAGGAAACTATGACAAAAAAAAGAAACATAACATAACAATTACGTCTAAGAAAAATAAATATGGGTCAGTATGTGTAATAAGTAAATACAGTGAAAGTAAATACAGTGTGTGATTGTTCTTTGATCAGCAGTTTAGATATCTGGGTGGGCAGCCACTTAGAGACAATATCTTATCAATCAAAATCGTTGCTTGTCACCATATTTCTGGTTTCTATCAATATGAATTTACATTTCGAACAATTGGATTATATAGCGAGCGATTGCCAAAAAATGTAATTAATTTCAATTGTATTTTACCAGACACGTAAGAGGTCATTATATGAAAACCAGGGGGTCATGCAGACACCTGAAACTACAACCAATGCAACGGCAAGCAGCGGCGGTACTTACAGGCGGCCATTTTATGATTATTCGTCTAACTCCAACTACAGTAAAGAGACATTTTTTTGTGTATGGAACACTACCAATGACATACTTACGCTCAGTGTATGACACTTTCTCTCGTCTGCTACATATTTAGCTTGTATCGACGTAAAGTACGTCTTATGTTACATATAAATCCACAGACTCAACAACTAATCGTTGGTCCAGCCAACATACGTCATTACTAAAGGGTCTTTCCCATTACCATGACCCCTAAAGTGATGTTATCGCCACTCGGTGCGCACCATCATGTATACGCATAGCAGTGCATTGTGGGAGTTGAGTAACGTCATTCCAGGTAGGGGATTCCCCATGTCCCGCTTACTCGAAGCATTCCTAGAAAAGTGTGTGTTATGGGTGTAAATTTTCGGTTACTAAAATAGAATTTTGTTAATATCGGTTTGTCTCTTCCGCTTGTCTGTTTTCGCCATCGTGTCAACCACAGACACAAGAAAAAATCGCCGAAACCCACACGAGTTAGTGCAGATTCGACATCATTGCGCACGCAAAAAAATGCGCGATGACGAAAACAATGTATGTATATACGTGATGTAATCTGATATGTGATTAGACTACATGCATTTTAGGCTTTCGTTCGTGGCCGTCGGCGTCGGCCAATGACTGACAGCTACCATAAACATTGTAAATCCAGGTTGCTCAATCATAAATACAATTTTTTTATTATATAATAATATAGAAATTGATATTGTCAGTAGTTATAAATATTTAGGTATGGAGTTTAAGCCAAATGGAAAGTTTGATTTGGCAAAAAAAAAAAATTATATAAAAAGGCAGTCAAAGCATTTTTCTTTATTAAAAAATCTCTTAGTGGCTCTACCAAAATTAATATAAAAACTTGGCTGAATGTCTTTGATCATGTTATTAGGCCTATATTAACATATGGCTGTGAGATTTGGTGGATGGAAAAGTATACAGACAAAACAGTCATCGAAAAAATTAACATAAAATTGTGCAAACTACTCCTCCAAGTTAACCAGTCTGCAACAAATTTGGCTGTAAGAGGAGAACTGGGTAGACATCCACTGTCAGTATTCATTAATAAAATGATGATAAAATACTGGCATAGATCTTACACTGTGAAAGAAAACACTTTAATTCACGAGGCAATGTCCTACAATATCGACAACAAAACAAAGTGGGCAACAACAACAATCAGTCAAATAACTGGTGTTGATAATATACATGATTACTGGAAGGGGGATGGTAAAAGTGTGAAGGGAGTTTTAGAAAAAAATAGAAGATGGTTATTCAAAAAAGTGGAAGAGTGACATGAATTTAGAAAAATCTGATTCAGGAGAGCTCAACAAACTTTGCACCTACAGGAAGTTTAAAACAAACTTCAAAATGGAAAACTATTTGATGGATGTGAATAATTCAAAATATAGAAAATATATTTGTAAATTAAGAATTAGTGACCATCAGCTTATGATTGAGAAGAGAAGGTATACTAGACCAAAAGCAAAACTGGAACACAGAATCTGCACAAGATGAGTACCATTACATTATGGACTGCCCACAGCACAATAAAATGAGGCATATACTTTTTACAGACTTACATAAGGATAATCCTAAATTTCATCCCGATAAATTTATTCACATTATGACAAACTGCCACATTAACCTTGGTGTGTTTATAATGCAAACAGGTGTGTATTAATAAAACACCTGATTCTGTACAACCTTGTAATTGCCTTTTAATTAATCTGTTATTTTAATTTTTTGATTATCCTCTTTACTTTTTTTTTATTTTACTTGACTATGTTCATCTTATATAGAAAGAATAATAAAGTTAAAGTTATATCCCGTGCTTGAACACTGATGCCGCTGAGGGCAACTTAAGCCTGGTCTGTTGTAGCAAATATGCCATTATCGTGGCCGCCATTTTGGAACCATATAAATACGAAACTTTTAGAGAAATCAATAGTATAATATACTATGGCGGCCATCTTTATGAACAAACGTGTATGCACACAAATATGGGATGTTCAAATGATAATAACACGATTGGTTCAAGGACAAATCCAAAGCAATGTTCCTTTTTAACTCACTGAAAGTGGTGATGGAGATATGGTATCTATGGTATTAAGGTGACCATTCTGAATTTATGCAAATAAAAAAAAATATGCAGGTCCATAAGTGAATTATCTCAGGAACCTAATCCATCAAACCCTGTTGTATAGACTCTAAATCCAGGTTCAGCTGCCGGACTAGACACAGAGGGCGCGATATACTACCTACAAAGCTTCAGTTTACGATCAAGAATACATTATTGAACATCACAAACGCATTAGATAAAACGAATGCTAGGGTAAATAACCCTGAAATGATCATTAAACCACAGTCCCTACAGCATGTGTAAAAAAACAATTCTTATACATAAATCAGACCGGTAAATGGTAACCATTTGGGAGCATTTAATTTGGAATTATTTAATTCATATCGTTATCGGTCATGTCCGCATTAGTAAACTGTCACATTATTTTCTTAGACATATTAGTAACACAATACGTCCATGGTAACACCCACAGTTTTTCATACACAGACTAGAAAAAAGCCACAGTGTTTTCGCCCACATGCATATTAGTAACACACACAGACATGCCAGGTACCATGGAAGTGCTTGAATCAGTGGTGTGAATTGCAATTGTTCGCTTGGCAGTCTGGATTGAGTTTCCACCATGGTCGGCGCTGGTAGACACTACATTGGTACTAGTGCTGAACAATGAAGATATTTAATTACGATTGATAATAGCACAATATTAGAAATTTCTGTTATACAATTCTTGAACTGGCTTGGAAGCCGGGACTTGAAGTACTCCGGTATG